AATCCGTCGCTAGCTGAGAGGAAATTTAAAATATAAATAAATATAGAAATTAGTTAAACTTGTGGATGTTTTTGGTCCCCCTAGAGACCTTAAAACAGGATATTACTCTTTTGCTTAGTCTTTCCTGAAACCTCCTCAGCATTACTTGTGCTCACTTAACAGTTTAAAGTCTGTTTTACGTTCAGGTCTTGCATTTTCGTAGATTTACAGTCACACTGTAACCTTATGGTTGCTAAGATAGTATATTTAAATATTTTCCCTGCTATGTTTCTTGTGTTTTCCACCATCAAATAAAATATGGAAGCATTAATATGGGGAACATGGTCTATAAACCTTTGGAAAGTGTGGGTATCCATCACATACAAATGAAATGGAGAAATCTGAAAGGCGTGGTAGTTACGGCTTTTGAGATATAAGCCAGTTTGACTGACTTTTTCTGATAGACTTCTAAAAAATGTCTACCACTGACAATGAAAGTAGCAAGCTGTGTGTGTACACGAGATAATGCATTTTTCACCCAACATATGTTTATTCCCTACCCTGTATCACAAGTACTGAAGTGTTTCCCCATACGTTTACTAGGATAACTCTGTTTGTGTGGGTCTCGTAAGCTTTGCTAGTAGTGTGCCATTCATTGATGTACTAGCTGGCGTGGACACAAGTAATTTAACAGCCTTCGTCTATTTTCAAGAGTTGGTTTGTAAGGATTAAATTTAGTTTTACGAGTGGTCGCGCTAAATCACGAATTGGTAGAAGTTAGAGTTCATGGGCCATTGAATGAGGTCCCAGTGGCTGAATGGTATACGAGCCAGTTTGCCTTGTAACCGGAAGGTCCTGGGTCCAAACCCTGGCGGTGGTTACGTACTGCCGATGATTCCCAAACTAGGCTGATGACACAGCTGTCCATTACTCCTTGGTTGGTTTTCAATGGTTTTCTAAATGATATCAATCTGTGGTCAAACTCGTAAAAGCCTTCATTGATACCATTTTCCTGGAAATAGGGAAGCCATAGTGATAAAGAATTAATTCATGATGTCCACAATCCATCGACTACTTTTTGTATTGTCTGCGGTATCATTTATGGTGACAAAAACGGATATTTAATGTGACGCTGAGTTGTTGATCTACTACTAATTTTAACTGAACTTAGGTGATTGTAGTGAGTTCTTCCGAAGCCTGTAGTCACGTGGTTAGACAAGGTTTCTGTCTTTCGGTTAGGGCTGCTTATACAAATAACTTTGGTGAGAAAATGCTTAGAGACTACTTGCGAGTGGACTTATCCACCTTGTTAAAAGCAGACTTTATCAACAGCTCTCATCGTTTCCCACAAGGCATGGTTTCAAAATTTTCTGACTTCTTCAGCTGTTTAGCAGTATAAATGTGTTGTATGTTTAGGACATTGTTGCCTAAAGAAGTCATGAGTCATGTCATCGACAACGGCTTTGTTTATTTATTTGAAACTCCGTAGTTTAAGGCTATACTTTCTTCCAAAGCCAGCTGTTTGCTTGAATAGCGACATGTCGCTTCTCTTCTTAATATAGATGCACTCTTCTCTAATTCTGAAATGTTTTTACGGGCACCTTTATTTGTGGAAACTAAAAATGGTAAAGCCCTTGAAACTCCAAATCATTGGCTTTCTTTCATCCGCTGATCTCGAGCTATGGGGTCTATGAAAGCCGTTCCACTACTCTACTTACAGCCACCAGATGCTGATTCATTCGAGTATCGCCAACAAAATGACAAGCAACCAAATTCTACCTAATAAGGTTATTCATTTATTCAGTATGCGTTGCAACCTGAGTGCAAGGACAGAAGTGCGTCTTCACTTTTTTTCTCTTTTTCAGAGGTAGAGTGGGATGAGTTGGACTAAGGTTAGGGATAGTTGGAGGATAGGCTAAGGTAAGGTTGTGAAAAAAGGTTAGAGTTATGGTTGAGTTGGGGGAAAGATTTCCTTTTTGGCTGAAGCACTTCTATCAAGGTCGTTGGTGCATTCATGCTAGTTGGGTGTCTACTCTTTAAAGTTTCCCTTTTTATCTTTCGTTCCCAGTATAACTATACCTGAAAACACTAGAATACTTTAAGAGGTTTATACCTTTGGATGTGCTGTGATACTAAAAGCATTCTGTTTCATTTCTTTCCATGAATTTATATGTTTTGTCAACGTACTGAGTTCTTCCTTTAGTGTAACGTTTTGCAACACTGTCTATTCCAGTCGTCTCATTAAGACTTAAGCCAAGAGCAGTAGTTATGGAATCACTAGATGTATTCGCCCTGTCTATTCGTATGTTTGTCTCTTAAACTGATAACAAGTAAAATCTTATTATACTGCGTTTACTTTAAAAAAACTATAAGCATCAACAATAAATAATTCAGTCTGTAAGACGTTGAAATGGAATTTCATGAAATACACGTTTTAGTTTGTTCCCTCATGACAAACTTTTGAATTAATCAGGGGAAATTGACTAGTCATTTACCTGACTTTCTATGATATTAATGCTGATTTTAAATAAAACGCGATATATTGATTTTTAGTAAAAACCAAGTTGTTGCCCACTTTATGGTCATTCGGCTGACAGGATTCTAGGGATAGGTCATCATGTTTCAGTACCTCGGTCAGTTTAGCACATTCTTCGTGGTTGTCAACACTTGTCTTCACTCAGCCACTTTAGCAACAAAAAGCATATTACTTGTAAGTATTGCCGACATCAGAAAAAATCCTCATTCATTGAATGGGTTAAGGCAGTTGAAATTAAAATTCAGCAAAGAAAGGAAGACAAAATTTGCAGTACAAACTGGTATCATCATTCTATTTCACTGGTCCTCATCAAATGCACAGACCACCTGAAATTACAATGATCATAAAAACTGACAGTAACACAATTCAGCGTTAGAATGGTAGGGGGGAAAACAGTACAAAATTCAAGCCTCCTAAATATAAACAGCAGTACAATTTCAAGTTACCATCAGCTTATATGCTTTCAAAATAAGAAAGAAAGGCATGAGGCGAGAGAAGACAGAAAACAGAAAGACCTAATAGACAACGTTAGCTTGCAAGTTCACTTAGCAACTCAAGGTTATAGTTCATAAAACTGGAAACTTGCTAAGTGAGTTGAAATCACTAAATGGCTGAATACACAGTGTAATCATGAACGAAATGCAGTTATCAAGTGAGTGAGAGATTGATTGAGAGATAAGGTTTGATTGCAATTGCTTCAGCAAATCGTAATAAATTTGCTGTCGTTTGTGTGCTTGATACTTTGAGGGATTTTGAAATCTCAACGAAAAACCCGGAGGTGTCTGGTAATCGCTCTTCGCCAATATCTGACTCTGTTTAGGCATGAATTTTTTTGGATATGCAAAGAAGGCGAGAAAACGAAACATCCAGTTGTTGAAAAGAAGAAAATTTAAATTTATCTCCCTTTTAAGGACGAGCAGTATAACAAAAGACTGACAAGAGAATGAAAGGAGCGATAGACAGATGCTTCCCTGTGGCTAAACTTATAATACCATACAGCACCACATGTTCTATAATCCAATCTAAACAGGATAACTACCCTGATGTCAACTCCGAATGCGTTTATAAATTTACGTGCAAGTATACTGAAGGGACAAAAAGAAGAGCTTTAATCTAGGTTTTCTGAGCATATTCGAAGAAACTTATGTCTCAATGGAAGCAGATGTTCTCAAAGTACAATTGCCAGAAACCGGGAATTTCATCAAGATTTCAAAATCACTCGAAATATTAAACATACAAGGGACAGCAAATTTATTACGATTTGCTGAAGCAGTTGCAATCAAACCTAATCTATCAGTCAATCTCTCACTCTCGTAGTTACTGCATTTTGATAATGATTTCGCCAAGTAGTCATCCATATTATTGATTTCAGCTCTCTGAGCAAGTTTCCAATCTTATGAACTATAACTTTCATGAGTTGCCATATGAATCTGCAAGCTAACATTGTTTATTAGATTTTTCTGTTTTCTATCTTCTCCTCCTCCGTCTTCATTTTCTATTTTGAAAGAATATAAGTTGACGGTAACTTGAAATTGTAATGCTGTTAATATTTCGGAGGCGTCAATTTTATAGTGTTTTCTCCATTATCATTTAAACGCTGAAGTGTGTTACTGTCAGTTTTTATGATCATTGTAATTCCAGGTGGTCTGTGCATCTGATGAGGACCAGTGAAGTAGAATGATGGTATCACTTTATACAGCATATTTGATGCTTCTTCCTTATCGAAATTTATCAAGGAACAAAGTTTAGTTGGGTAATAACTGTCTTTACTGAAATATTTCTTTGTTATCAGCATTTGGATGTCAACCTAACGGCCAAATGAGTTGATCTACTCGTCGAGTAATTAGTGACAATTTCTGTTCATTCGTAAACTATGTTTCTCATATGCCAATCAATCTTTGAGGTGAAACAAAAACAACATACACACGTACACACATGATACATTTGTTTTTATTCATGAAAGAAAACAATATATTAGTCGACTGATATGTGAATGGAAAGCATATACTTATATAACATCGGTTATTTCAAATTGACCAAAATAAGTTATGCCAGAAAGGAATTTGTTCATTTAAACCACAGACACAAAAAAAAAACAATTATCAAGAATAGTGATAAATCAATACTGACAAGTTATAAATCCGTGCTTTTAAATTAAAAGAATCTGATATAATGTAACCAATAGTGATGATAATACTTTGTCACTAAAGAAAAAATAGGATTTTTTAAATTGAACATTGAATTTGCATAAGTAACTCTCTTGACTGGCTAATATTAGAAGTTGGATAAATAATATTTTTAAGTCAAAGTAAATTTCAAATCAGAAACAAATAATGTGTAAAAATCTGTTTGGATTTCTTGTTTTAACTCATCAAGAATTTACAAGGTCAAAGGAAATATTTTTCCGGTTTGTTTGAATTATGTGTATAAACATAAGCTACGATTTTCAATATTGAGTTCTGATATATATTTTCTTGTTTTTTATTTAACACAAAGAAACTTCATTCGCGTATAGCTTTAAAACTGATCCAAGCCAGTTTAGACTTTCTTTAGTTGTTGAAGATGGTAGTAATAAATGTGATACCAAGAAATGTTCATTATGCCACTTTAAGTTGACAAGTACAGGTAATGCAGATATCTAAAAAGATTCAAATTATTTTATAACTGATGAATATGTGATAATCAAGAGTATAAAACAACTTGTTTGACGAGTAGACAAAATTCACTCAGTACAGTATAAAAGTTCTGCTCACTTACTACGTCTGGCAACTCACGACATCGCAATTAAACCACACTATACTCTCTGTGCGTCGGTGGCACAGTGGTAGAATGCTCGCTAACCACGCATGTGGTTCGGGAGAAGAATGAACTGTTGCGTGGTACACGAGTCCACTGACGGATAGACATATATCATGCCTACGCCATAAAGGACACAAGTTGTTAAATGCTACACGAGCCTTTGGGATTAGTGCGTAGATTTCGACACCCATCAATTTATTAGAAGACTTATGTAACCTTCCAAATGAATGAATTGGTCAGAATACTTAGCCGTTTCACTCCATATGATTAAAATAATAGCAGTTGATGCAGGTCAGTCTTTCACTCGTCAGGCTTTCTGTGGCTAGGCTGGCTTTATAGGCTCAGATAATAAATGAATTAACCTGTTTAACGTAACATTCTTTATTATCTAATAAATGATTTTTTTAAGCCTTCAACCAATAATAATTCCTGGGTTAAAATTTCTAGAAATAAATGAAGCAAAGACTTAAAATAAAAAAAAACACAAATCAAAGAAAATTTTAATTCATTGAAGATGCCCTTTAAAATATTTAAAAGACTGATTAATAAACAAAGAATATTGGGATTTTCGGTAACCTCTTCGTCATCAGGTTCTAAGTTTGTAATACAGTGATAACTAAAGAAACAACGAATTCCCTTGTGAGGAAGAATCCCAAAGTGAAGCTGCCTTTTTAGACGTCCTACTGACAAGAAGACTAGAAGGTAGTAGAAAAAGGAATTTATATCAGGAAAGCACTTGGAGTGCTCAATATCCACACATTTTCACAGCTTTCTTCCTCTCTGGTCTAAAAGAAATTTAATAAAGACCCTCGGCTATAGGGTCAGTGTTCAGAAGATGCGATTGAAGATGAACTTAAGGTTGCATACAACAGGTTAATTTAAAACAGCTACTCTGAAAAGTTCATCACTGAACACATGGCCAGTGAAAGTAGAAAAAATTCTCCTGTACGTCTTAACAAGAAGTCTCTCTCTATATTTACCACAAAAATTCAAAGGTGATAGATAACACCAAGTGGTGAAATAATAACCAACAGCAAGTTGAGCTGCCGGTAACCTGCAGTGTATATTTTCCACACAACCGGTTGTGATTCGTCAACTGAGAGATGAGGTACGCAGGCTAATCACCTCCAACCGTATCTATCATTTCAACTGCTCCTGTGGAACCAGTTATATTGGCAGTTAGCTTCCTCAGAAACCCAATCATTTGTGTTCGAGATCACCTACCAGTATGGTTAAATAAAGGTGTTGCTGAAGCCATCAACAGTTCTATATTGGACTACCTCCTGCAAACAGTCCATAAAGCTAATGTTGAAGAATCTTCCTCTATCCTTTATTGGGTATCGAATAAATTATCGAAGGCCTCTGGATATCGAATTCTCCAAACAGCCGAGGCCATCGCAATACGCCTTAATCAGCCGGAGTTATACCTGCAGAAGAATAAGTTCCAGCCAGCCACTACTGTCACATTGCCCTTGATGTGAAATCTATAAATTCATAAATTCCATCTTACTACTTCTTTTAAATAATCTGGTATTCAGTTTAGTTTTATGTTAATGCATATTATCTCTCTCTCTCTTATTGATGCTTTTGAAATGTAATCACCTGTCGATTCTAACTATTGATTCAGTGTAATTTAAAACAGCATTTATCTTATTATTAACAATAATTCTTTAATTATTACTATCAATACTCAAGAACAGATGGCCAGAAAAGATCAGCAACAGGGATCGATGGGAGCAAACCAACCCAGCAAGAACCAGTTGTGCAACAAATATGCAGGAAGAAATGGAGGTGGATTGGCTAGCCATACTCTGAGAAATCAAACCACCATCAAGTGACGTCACACGCCAGGCCATCGCTCTAGTGGAACCCCAATGGGAAACGGCAAGTTGGTCGTCATTGCGAGGGTGATATGGAGGAGGAGGCCATGTGAAGAGGAGATGAAAGTATGTGGGCAGACGTGGAGCCAGGTGGTGAAAACGTTAGTGGAGAGCAGAACGCAGTGGAGATGTTCTGCTGAAGCCTTATGTTTCTCTGGGAACTAAGGGAAACAATAATAATGTAATATAATATTACTATCATGTAAATAAATGCATAACCTGATGATGAAGAAGAGGTTATCGAAAATCTGAATATTCTTTGTTCGTTAATAAGTCGTTTATTTCAGTCAAAAAGAAACATCCCCGAATAAATAAAACCTTTTAAAGACAAAAAAAACAAACAAAACAAAAACACACAGTTTATGTTACCTTTACAATCTGTTTAAATGTTTCACCAGCTGGGTGTTTCTCAAAACAGCTAAATAACCTTTGCGCATTTATTGATACTTTATTCTTTCCAAATTGATTTTTATTGTTATTTTGTGTAGTAGACTTGTTAACGTTGTTTTCATTATCTAGTGAAGATTCATACTGTCCAGTATAAAATTCTGTACGTGAAGTTGTTACAGATGACTTTAGTGAGTAATCGTCATCCCGTGGTGTATATCCATCTGAATGATGATAATGAGAATGTCGTTGTTGTTGTCGTTGAAGGTGATGATGTTTATTACTTGCTTGAAATCTTGATATCACATCTGACTTTGACTGTCTCACCACTGATGACGTCAGTATATCGTGTGAATTTCGCTTTTGAAGTGAGCTATGCGGAGGAGGAGGAGGATGAGGACAGGGATGATGGTAAGATGCCGAAGAGTGAGATTGTCTTTTCTGTTTTTCAAGTTGTTGAATAATATTCTTCTTTGTCATATTAGTCAGATCTAATGGCCATATCAATAGGTTATTTTCATAAAGTCTGCCTGTAAAGCGTTTTGAGCATAATACATTTGAAACGAAGTGCATAGCACCATCTGCTTGACTATCGTGTAGATAGATAAGTAATGGTCGAATTTGCTGAACGACATACAAAAAAGACCATTTAAAAATTGAACTCAAATAGTGAACAGTGATAACAGTTAGAAAATGACACGTCATTTTCAGTTTGGTTTTGTTGAGACAAGTTTAAAGAGACTTCTCACGCGAGTCAGTTAGACACTGCTGATGTGAAAATGGTTACACGACACTAGTTCAAGTTCTTATTATTTATCGTTCCCTGGGAATTTCAAGTGGAACATAGGTCTTCGACAGAACATCTCTATTGCATCCTGTTCTCTGCATTCCTCTTCAGCCGGTTGCATGACTACCCACAGACCTTCATATCCTCCTCATATGATCTCCTCCATGGCACATTAGGACCCCAGCCAAACTCATTGTTTCCCCTTCTGGTTCCACTCGAGCAACGGCTTGGAGTGTGATTTCACTTGGTAGTCTCCTGAGTGTGTTTCCAAGTTCACTGAGTGACACCAAGAGGCTGGATGGCCTATGAGTTTGCCTTGTGACCGGAATGTCCTGAGTTCGAAACCCGCTGGGTTTTCCTTGAATATTGCATTGGAGGTTCAGTGGCAGAATGCTCACTAACCATGTGTGTGGTTTGGGGTTCGATCCCCGGCTGACACACTCCTTAACCTCACTAAGCCGGTAGTAAGCCTAGTAAACATGGTAAGTCGGGTACGAAGTTAGCAATCTATCCCGTAACGAAATAAACACCACTGCTGCCGAAACCACGCTTGGGCGTGGAGCTAGGGATTTCACTCTGGAAAATCAATCAAGTTGCTACAGAAACTTCAGAGAAGAACAAGAAAATTCAAGTGATAACCGGATAAATTTCAGAATAACTAATCTAGATTAATTCTGTCTATTGTATATGTCTTATATGCATTATGGTAGGACGCCCACTACTTAGCGGTAGTTCACAATATCAAGCCTTAATATCAGCTTTCTACAGAACACAAGTCACCTATTGTTTTATTTCATGCACACAGCACAAGACCTGAATATCGCTATTTTCAATTTCCTTGTATAGAATCATGCATGTATGTGAAAAGTTAACCAGCCGGTGATAAGCCCGGAATTTCGATTGTCACATTAGTAACCTCATGCTTTCAAAAAGCAATACCACGTCACTCTGAAGGGAATGAAATATACACTGGATGCAGAACTCCGCCCACCGGAACAAGCTAGATTCAGGGAAGGCCAACCAAATAGCAACTCTACGCATCATCACCGAAGAGGGTATAGAATGGGGATCAAATCTTTAACTTAACTTCAGCGACTTTGAAAAGGCCTTCAGCAGAATTGACAGTGAAGTGATTTGAAAACTGCTTCGTCAAACTCTTACCAACCTCAATCAATAGCAGTTTGACAGGGCAACATGTCAAGTGATTAACAGCAGGAAACTCAGCGATGCATCCGGATAGGAGTAGGATAGCAGTAAGTCAGAATGCTGCCCACTGTCACCAGTGGTGTTCCTGATTCTAGCAGACTACATCATGTGGCAGGCTGTGGAGAGCGCGGAGAGAGAAATACTTTGGACCGATAAGAAGGCACTAGAAGATTTGGAGTTCACAGACGATTTATGTCTAATGTCGGAAAAATTCGAAGACTTACAGGGAAAACCAGCGAGATTGCAGAATAAGCAGAAAAGATAGGAGTTCAGGTGAACACCTAGAAAATAGAGGTGATGAAGATACCTAACCAGCAGCAACAACAGGTACCGATCACTATCAATGGACGGACGACTCAGACCTTCATCACTCCGAAGTCAGTTTGGAAATTCTCTGCACTCAGCATAAACAACAAAATTTGGATTTTCAGCTCAAATGCTAGGTTGGTCATCGCCGCTATTTAGGATAGAAACTTAGTCGACGTGTTACGAAAAGCATTTTCAACAGCTGCCTTCGCTGCATGTTGAAGATCAGATCGGAAAGAATTAGCAGCAAGAAGGTCTGGTAACGAATCAACCATGAACCTACTTCATATCAGACACTGTGAAGAAAGTGGAGGTGGATCGGACGTACTCTGAGGAGATTGTTAGGTGACACTGCGTGCAGTAAAGGCCCACGAGTGAAAGCCGAATGACGAGTTGGAGGATGTCATAGGTTAACATAGAGGAGATCGTCTGCGGAGGAGATGAGGGCCTCTGAGCAACCGTGAGGCCAGCTGAAGATGACTGAAGAGAATAGGATAAAATGAGGATGGGCTATTGAAGCCATATGTTCCATTTGGAAGTTAAAGGAATTATAATAAAGTATTGGTTTTCAGGGATTTGACTGATCGGTTTCAGGATTTTATTATGAACTGACATCGCTTAGAGGACCATTGAAAAACCAGCACTGGAGTACTGGACAGCTGTTTTGTCAGCCTAGTTCGGAAATCTTCATCAGTACGTAATCACCACCAGAGTTCGAATCCAGAACCTTCTGGTTGCAAGGCTAACGAGCTCGTAGAACCGATCCATTGGCCAGCCTATGAATTCCAACTTCTGCCAGTTCATGATTTGGCGTAACTGGCACTGGTCAATGTCGTTGGTGGCGAGTATTTGTCCTCATGCCTGACCTGCTGTACCCTACTGGTCCCAACTTCCCATTGAAACCCCAGGTAACTACTACCTACCTGAGTAGGGCCAGTCGCTAGTGAGCGTCTCATTGATATTCAAGTATTGGTTTGTAGGGATTTGATTGATTGGCTACAGGATTTCATTATGAGCTTAATTTCTCATAATAATAGCTTCATATTCCCCCCTCCCAGAACTCAAAGGAATAAAAAGAAGTGAGTCGTGCTCATACGCAATACATTATCGATCAAAATACTAGTGAAAAAAACAAATATTGCTTATCCTAAGGACTAGTACCGTCGACTAGATTGTTTGACAAGTTACCCTAACCAATGTTTTAAGGCACCGACTGAAAAAAGCCTGAGGCACGTGTTATGCATACCAGGCTGACGCCTACTGACGCCCACGTTGTTAAGCAATATTAAAAGCTAAATACGATTAGGTTGGAAAAAGAGTTTGTTCTACGTTGACAGTTCACTTCTGTACTATACCCATTTCTGTAAAGAAAAGATTTTTAAGCAAATTACTGATATGAACTTACCTTGAATTTGTTCAAATCAAAACTGCGTATCACTGCAGTTGATAAACGACCGATCAAAAAGGATGGATTACACGGTAGATCGCAAACATACTGTTGATTAAATACTTGTAAAAACTCGACTGGTTTTAATTCTTTCCCCCAGCCACTACTACTACTATTATAAGAATGATAAAAGGCATCATCATTCTGATTGACACTTTGGTCATTTTTTACCTCTTCAACATTTTGGCCATATTCAAATATATCAGAAAGTTTAAATAATTCTTGAATGGAATGCGATCCTTTGATAATACAACTTTTCAAATAGTCCTCCAGTTGACTATTACTCGTTTGTTTAATACTTCTACTACTACTACTACTACTACTACTGTCTGTTAGTGAAGATTGATCATTCTCATTCATATTAACATTAACAAAATCATTGGCATGTTCATCGTCATTATCACAGCTATCAATATCATTGTTATCATCAGCAGACTCAATATCATCATCAACATTCTCGTCATCATCATTAGCATGACGATGAAGTCGTTGTAATCGCCTGTCGTATCCATCTTTTGAGATAGTTTCTTTTGTTTTCATCAATTGTAACTTGTTAACATATGGATCGTTTGTCTTGTACATGCGATATTTAGCATTAAAGTGTGACTTTTGATAACGTGATAACTGTTTCGACAGCTTTGGCCTGATGATCATTGTACGGTTAGTTTTAAGCAGGGCATCATATTTCTCAGGTTTATTCATCTTTTCAGTGACACTTTTAAAGCCTAAAGTTTGTTTAAAATTTTTAAGAAAGAAAACAGAGATTTTTCAGTAGATTCATGTGAATAATTTGATAATTATTTATTTTATTCTTGTACATTTCGTGTGGAACATAGGGCTGTAAGCTAGAGCTTTGAAGTGTCGGTAGCAGTGGTTTAATTTTTTGGGGGCTGGGGAGGAGGAGTTTGCTAGCCACACGCCCCAACCTTCCCTTTTTACCTGTGTTATCACTGGCTTAGTGAGGTTTAGGGGTGTGCTGGTCGGGGATCAAACTCCAGATCATGTGACACGTGGTTGGATAACATTCTGTTGATGAACTACCAATGCACTGGATAATTTGAGATAATATTCAACTTATACCAACAGGAGATGTACCTTCAGGTCTAAACACATTAGTAATCTAGGTCGAAGTCTTAGAATTTGTCAAAGAGTGATATTAAAGACCGGTTGACATGTAAATGTGGAGTAGAATGTTGTATGTGATTTGTTCTGGAAGAGTATTGAATAGCGTGGAGTGACAGATTATACTGTGAAGAGAAGGGATGTAAGATCCTTGTGAAACAGTGCAGAAAGCATGGAAAGCAGACAACAGAAGCAGAATACGAAAAATTTGTGCAAATAGGAATTTCTATGTAAGATTTCTGTATTTTACCATCATTGTATACCAGCTGCTAAGTGAACAATTCAAAATACTACGGTATTCTGCTATCATATTTGGTGTCAATGCCCTCGGTCATATAAAGATTCTTTGTGACCTACATCTTTTGAAGAGAGAAATCTTGAGCTTCCTGAGGAACTTTGAGGCCATCAGTGAGTTACTGGGCCTCCGAGATTCAACAGCGAAAACGATGCTCCTTGGAACTCAGCTGGGAGGTCCGGTGAAAGCTACTTGTGACAGTGGAGCAGACGTGAAGACATCATGAGAGGTCGTCAGGTGGCTGATTTCAGATTTCGACAGTCTTGTCTGACAAACAGTTGGTGTTAAAGAGGTACAGGGAACCTACGGTTTGGTGCAGATGGAGACCAACTGGCTTCCCTAGGCACTTTAGGAGATGAAGACCATACTTAATCTCTACAATACTTATTGTACAGTTCTAACAACTGTGAGTAGTAAGGTGAAAAGATATGTGATGTGAACCTGTCCTACATCTTCTGATTTCCTCAGTCATATCTCACAATCCTGAGGCTTAAAGAATTCAACTGATAGGTGGTATGCAGACCACTTGACAACTGTTCATATATACTGCTGGTGTAATATCGACGATAGTTTATAAGCGTTAAATTCGCCGTTACCAACCTTAATGAAGCGTTGTCACTAGAACTGATGTGACACTTTATATTGAATAAGTGAATTCATCAACTTTATCTACTCATTCCAATCCATACCTCTGAATAAATGGATAATTAAATAGTGATAACAATAAAACACATATCATGTTGTCAAAACTGGTGTGGTCTGTCTTAAATACTGTCTCTTCAGTCAATAACTTGTAAGTCTTTAACAATTCAAGTCAAAAAGTTAAATGAACGAAATTAACAATTTGTAAATTAGTCACCGATTTACAATTTACACAGTCAAAAGGGTGAAATTTTCACCAAAGTTTGCTTTGGAAACCAAATTTATTGACATTACAGTACATGATCTGATTTCTCCCATAGTTGTTGATACTAGAGGTATACAACTACTCACCTAAACTAATCAGTAGTATGTAGTTTTATGCAAATATTTCTGCCTTCTTGATTATCATATATGATATAAGGCATATCATAAAGAATGACCTGAATAACTTGGTTTCCAGAAGAAACTGGAGAGAAAATTTCATGCATTGTAATGTGTACATTGCAAACTGCTAACTAATAAGCTAACTGTGAGTTTCATTCATGCTATCACCAGTCCAGCCAAGTAGATAGCTAGCAATGGGGGTACTTTTGATAGGACACTAGTCAGTAACTAGTGTGATGTGTCTACTCCTTTCTTTGGCGCAGACTGGATCCTATCAGTCGAGTTTTCGAAATGGCCACCATGCCATTAGGTGGCTTGCCATCACGTTGTACTTTAAAGTGTTGATATTAGATGGTTGGAGTCCATCGGCAGGAAACCTTGGACCTAGGTTTCGTGCTAGTTGGCACTCGTCAGCAAGGCGTACGCTTCCTGCTGATTGCCTCCAACCATCTTATACCAACAATTCACAGTGACCGTGATGGTGAAGCACCTAGCATGATGGCCGCATTGCCAACTTGACTGATAGTATTTAGTCTGCACCGAAGAAAGGACTAGACACATCACACTAGTTACTGACAAGTGTCCAATCAAAAATATCCAATACAGTCCTTGAGGTGGTTAGTTGCGAGCCCGAATACCTCATTGGTAGCGTCTCTCACTGCAGGTGGCACTGGATGATGCGGGTTCGAGTCTTAAGGGGGACATTAATTCCTTCAAGGTTCCAGGTACGCCTTGGTGACTGGTGAGTGCCAACTAACACGAAACCTAGGTCAAGCAAGGCTTCCTGCCGATTGCCTCCCACTATCCAGTACCAACAATCGGGGGTGTGAACTGATTCGGCCGTCTGAACTGAGTCTTATTGGCTGCACTGCCAATGACCTTGACTCCAAATAAGCGAAACGGACATCCAATGTTTAGATCACCTCCATCTAACTAGCAAGGACTACTAGTTTATGTGGGTGGTATACAGCTACTTATTTCAGTCAGTCAGTAGTATATAGTTTTTATCAAAAACTTGACGTTATCTTATACTGATCAGATAAAATTTCCAGTTGTTGGTCTGAAAGGATTTGATTGGTTTGAAATCAAATCACGCTGGTCGATATCAGTTAGAAAACCACTGAAAACCAGGGAGCACTTCAGAGCGATTTCGTCCTAGTCTGGGAAGCTTCAATTGTGCTCGCTCATCGGTTTTCATCCCGGAGGGTATGTGGCTAACGGACTCTCCTCGTTAGCTGAAAGTCTTGGATTCAATCCGCAGCGAAGTCATGTTTGCGTATTGCTGAATTATCTCAAACTAGCACGAAACGGCTGTCCTGCCAACAAATCTTCGTAGAAGTTTGCAAAGACATTAATTGTTCCACGTGGTTACGTTTCAAAACATACAATGTAAAAGAAAAAGGAAACGAAATGTAGTGACAATTCAGTGAAAATTTTACGCAGAGGAGAAAACAATAAAGCAGTGGGTTAGTTACATATGCGTGACTTTAAACTATCCTCAGTGATTTCTAGGAGTGTGTCTAAACTCGGATTCTTTTCAACCAGGGAATCCCACTTAAGTAACCCTGACCCAAAGCAAACAATTGTTGACTTCATTAATTGTGTCTACTGTTTTGTCGATCCTATTAGTCAATTTAACTTCCCTAGTCTAAAATTTGGTGCGTCGGTGACACAGCGGCAGAATGTTCGCCAACCATGCAAGGGGTCCGTGGTTCGATCCCCGGCCAACTCACTCCTTCGCCTTGTTAAGCCAGTAATAAGACTGGGGAAGAGGGGAGGTTGAGCATGAGTCCAGCAACCCCATCCTGTAAAAATTAGCACTACCGCTACCGAAACTTCAAGTCTGTAGCTTGAAGGCCCCTGTGTTCCGCTGGGAACATAAAGGAATGAAAATAAAGCCAGCATTTTAAGCTTAATCTCAAAAGAACTTTCTATATTACTTTACCTAAAGTGAACATTTAACCATATAGAAATCTACAGTCAAAATCCTATGGTCTTCTCATGAATCTACTTGATCTAACTATATCTTACAGTCTGAAGTTAGAATAAGTTGAGGTGCAAATTTGAATTTCTGGATTTCCACTACTAAAAAGGAATCATTTTGACCTTTAAGGATAACATTCTCATTAGCATTCGCCATCGATAAAGATGACTAGAAACAATGAGAATTCATATGATGGTAATTCCAGGCAATTTAACATCCAAAGTTAAAATATTGACATGTTAAAACGTTGACGGATGTCAGCAGCAGTTAATTATGACAGTTCGTCGACAGTCTGAACCACATGAACGTTTCAAATATATTCATGATGTCATTTAATGTGATATCTTTGTTCACAGTGATCCCAATCAATGAAAATGTCAACATTCTGATCATTTCACACTCTCATTATCGGAATTCAAACACCTAGTGCTGATGTGTACCAAAGATGCATCCCCAAACAGACAATGTAGCTACGGGAATTCCAATTAACCCTGTTTTAGCAAACGTCTTCATGCTCAACCTTGAGAGAACAAAGTCGAAACCTGTAGTCGACGAAACAACTTGTTATTGTCAATATGTCAATGACAAATTTGCTTCCTACCTACTCGGATTATTCAACGACGCACATACAAATATTGAATTCACTATGGAACATGAAAATGTTGGAAAGTTTCATTTCTTTGCAATGCTTGAAAGATAGTAGTCTTCGGGGATAAGTTAACTGAAGGCCTACCTGGAATGGACAATACTTATATGTTGATAATTTTGGTTCAAATAGCTATAAACGAGCACTGATGAAAACTCGGCTTTATAGAGTCAGGGATATATGCCTCAGAGAAAAAGATTACAGGATGAGTTTCTAATCCTCGAAAAGGTGTGGAGAAACAACTATTACCCTCAGAAATTTAATAACAAGTACGCAGGGTGTGAAGGTCAAATGCCGAATAAATCACAGTGGAAAAGAAGCCCATCCTCATTTAACTCGACTTTAAAAGTGCTAATATTGCTGGGTTAGTCAACAGAAGATTGAATACCTCACCAGCGACAACCCCTCCTGCAGCTAAGCTGGTTCCTGTTTGTCGGATAACATGCTCTCTGGTGCAAACAAAAGTCGACACATACCCTTCCCATGTTAGGTCTAACTGTGTATGAAGATTTAAATGGATCCAGGGAAGCAGTTACATTGAGAGAACAGAAAGAGTGGCATAGATAGGATTTTCTGAAAATGTACTAAAAAGCTTAAGTTTCAAGGGAACGAATGCTTACAGTAGTGCCAATACCATATATCTCCTTGATACAGGTCATGAGGTGGAGATCGCAAATCCCTTTAAAATCATCAGTAGACGAAATAGCCAACTTCTCCTCAAGTTTGCTGAAGTAATCGGTACCAAAAGCCTATAACCTGATTTATTTGTTCGATAAAAAACAGTTATAAGATACAGAAAAAGATGCAGACTGAACGCTGCCCTGAAAAGAACATATCCAGCCGCCAAGCTTGTATGTGTTTATCAAACAACTAGTTGTTTGAGACAAGCAAAAGTGAACAAATACCAACCTCATGTTACCTACAACTGTGCCTACCAATTTACATGTACGTGCCAAAGCACATACATCGGAAGAACAGAGAGAAGGGTTATTGTCCGCATTTCTGAACACATACCAAAGAACCTGAGACTAAAAGGTCCACAAGCAATAAACAGTGCAATTGCGCGTCATCTATTAGACACTGGTCATATTGCAGACAACCTGAAGTCGTTCAAAATAATCAACAAGCAAAAGAAACCTAGCTTGATACGCTTTGCTGAAGCAACTGCTATCAAACGACTTAAACTAAATCTATGTGTCCACAGAAAGAGACAATGGTGAATCTTGCGCTGCCCTGGTGATAACAAAATATACAACTTTTATGAGTCACCCTTTTTCTTGTTTAGAAAACTCTACTCTCTCATCTAAACATGACTCACCCTACCTTGTTCTTTTCTTTTTTTTTTCCTATTGGCTATTAGATAAAACATTTTTTTAGTTGCGTAGTCTGCTTTCTTGTTATGCTCTTTCTAGCTCAACCTTGTTTCTATACACACATATATATACGCAACTCTGTTTTTTGTTTCCAAGCCTAATTGTCTAATTATTCTATAAATAATTAGTGTTTGTAACTCTTAATTAGTTAAATCATTCCGGACTAATGTTACTTTTACTTTCTACCAATTACTCCTTGTGATCGTGGAAAAGTATGTTCAAATCTTGAATGTACTGTAATTCATATTTTTTATCATTCAGGTTGTAACCAGTTGAGAAGAATCCTCGAAATAATAAAAGATGAGCTCATATTATCCTGATACAATTGTTGTTCTTACTTTGTTCAAGTTTATTAATGGGAAGAATTGCATGAAGTTTTTGAAAAAAACAGTTAGCAGTCTTTACTTGTCCTGGTAACGCAAAGTCTCTACTCTCTCGGTCGTTTAATTACGTAATCTCTGCCTCTAACCTCTTTATTACGTAACTTCTTTGCCATTGTAAGCAAACATTATTTCTGTTTAAACTTCAATTCTGTAGATGAAAATTTTCTGAACACTGTTTATAAGGGTGCAGTCTCCTGTTGTTAACTGACGTCATGTAACATTTGCAGGTATGTTATAAATTGTGTTTGCACATAAACTTAATGATAATTATTTTAGGCTGTAGGCAGCTGATGAGAAGCCGACAAAATAAATGATGATGATGATGGTGCCATCTTATTCTGCATAAACTATTGATCTGGCTTGAATAAAGTTCATAAAGGGGGATAAATGTATAAAGCATGTTTAACAGTTAACTCACTTTTTTGAATGATTTTATACCTTTCACGAGGTCGGTTTGGTTCAACTTCTTGAGGAAGTTCGAAAAGTGATGATAAAGCTTCCTTAAATTTAACACACACATACACACATAAGAGAGTAGAGTGATAACATGTGGTGATAAAACACACAAGACAAACATTTCAATTAAACAAGATAAAATCAAACAAACATTTTGTGAGGATATCTCACGTTTCAGAAGTATACTGTCTTAGTTAAACAGTTATAAGAGACTGAAGGAAGCATAACTTGTCACTTGGTGTGGTGATAAACTGACATTTAGTTGGATTTAAAACCGGTTTAGGGAGGCAAAGGTGAATGCCAGTCGGGTTTCGAACCCTGGGCCATGTAATGCATAGTTGCCGAGCATTCTGTTGCTGAACTACTGATTCTCTAAACTGACATTTAAGCATAACCAATTGATGTGAAAACTCAGAGTAGTGCATGATTTAATAAATGATCTGTTTGGTATTACACCCTGAACTTCGTGTGGTAAAGTATCAGACTTATAATCTGGAGATTATCGGTTCGAATCCCTGCCATGGCCTATGTTTTCATCTCATCTTCAATTATCAGCATCACGTGAATATCACCCTGAAAGTTCAGTAATAAGTGAGATAGACTCTCCAGCAACCATAATTATATTTACCCATTACTATTTTTCTTACTTGAACTGCTAAGTTCACTTGCTACGTTTCAGTAGTTAAGTATTATTCGATGGCAGGATGCAGTTAAAAGGAATCCCAGCCTGAATTGGGTTTGGTGCTTTTCGGCACTCGTAAGCAAGTCTTACCTGTCATCTTGAAGGATTTCAGATTCGCTCTGAGACTTGAACATGTACTATAGTCAGAGGAGTTACCACTGAGCTCAGAACCTCAGAGGGGAAATGATATCCGTAAAGGTTGTAGATACGTCTTGCTGATTTGTAAATGCCAACAAGCACGAGACCTTGGTCAGGCTCGGATTCCTGCCGATTGCCTCCAACCATCTAATAACTAAGGATTTACATGTGTGTTTTTTAATCTCTCACCCCACTAATTTTTCGTAGGTCTATGAACCCTGTCGGTTATTTCTTGATTACCACGACAGGAATTGTGGTGATATACATTATTCTTCTGAGAGTGTCTTAGATTCCTTTAAGCTATCTAATTGGTCATCAACATACCTGAACACTCCTTCCAATAAATCATGACGTCCCGTCTTTAAACCTTTTTGGATTATTATTATTCTTCCCTTTTGTTCCATTTGGGACATAGGGTTTCAACGGCACCTCTCCACTTTGTGTTGTTTTCGGCGGTTCTCTTAGACGGACCTCACCGTTATTTATATCCTCTGATCTCTTCCTTACATGATCTCCTCCATGTCACCCATCGACGCTCCACTCACCGTTTTCCATGAGGGTTTCACTCGAGCGCAGGCTTAGCGCGCAACATCATTAGATGATCTTTTCAGCGTGTATCCGATCAACCTCCATTTTTGTTACAACTGAACTGAACTGAATAAATCCGTCGCTACTTTGTTATGTCTGCACCTGTTAATTACTATAATGGTAATTAACTCGACTGGTGCGCTCATACGCCTATTTGTCCGTTGTACCTTCCGATTCACTGGGCCACGTAAATATCAAAAGACATTGCACTATTCTGATTGGTCGACGATCCGACAAAGACCAAGGTGAGTCAAAAGACGATGAATTGATCACACACTCAATCACAATATGTGTGAGAAATGATAGATCCACATAGTAACTCCATCACAAGCTAAATCACACGAGTTGTGAGAAAGGATGGTATACTACTTTATGCTGGATCCTATCAGTTTTCGTCTACATATTTTTCAAGCCATAGGTCCCTAGTTGGTTCGTTCCCAGAGTTTATTGTAGCTAATTTTTTCTGTTCGGCCGTCCAATTTTTAGTATGTAGCCAGAGAAGGGGGGAGTTGTTGGTAAAAGTCTACGGCAGCCTGTTCGCAATGCTTTTCGTGACGGGTAGGCAAAGTTTCTGACCTATGTAGAAACACTGAGTGACTTGACATTGGTGTCGAAAATCCGAATTTTGTTCTTTATGCTGAGTGCAGAAGATTTCCAAACGATTTCAGAGTGATGAAGGTCTGTTTTGCCTTTCCGATTGTGTTCTTGGCATCTTCATCCGCCGCACCTGTAGTAAGATTAGAGACACCTTTTTCATTCTTGAATGGGCTTGTAACCCCAGTGTCTGTGTTTCGTCCACACTCGGGATGCATAGTGAATAGTTGTATAGCAGCTACAGCCCAGCTGATTCGCTCTTCAAAGCGTTCCGATCAATTGGGATTAAGTGCTCAATTTCAGTCTGGAGATGGACTTATTCAGCCGGCATATTTCGTTTTTCAGCAAACATCATGGATGCGGATTTTAAACTCCAATATAAAGTCAGTGCTCCTATACGTGTCAGAGACTTGGCGCGTCACAAAGGGTACTTTGAACAAACTACAGACTTTCGTCAACAACTGTCTTCGTTCAATACCACTCAAGATCAAATGGCTGGCCAGAAAAGATCAGCAGCAGGGAGGGATCTCTGGGAGCGAACCAGCCCAGCAAGAACCAACTGGGCAACAAATATGCAGGAAGAAATGGAAGCGCATTGGCCATACTGTGAGGAAACAAACCGTCATCAAGTGACATCACACGTCAGACCACTGCTCGAGTGGAACTCTAATGGGAAACGGCGAGTTGGCCGTCAGTCTGAGGGTGACATGGAGGAAGAGGTCATGTGAAGAGGAGATGATGGAAGCATGTAGGCAGACGTGGAGCCAGGTGATGGGAACGTTGGTGGATAGCCTAATGCAATGGAGACGTTCGGCTGAAGGCCTATGTTCCTCTAGAAATTAAAGGAAACAATAATAATTGGAATAAACATCATCGATATGGTCAGTAAAGAACAATGCGGCTCAACACCACACTTCTTTGGTGCGAAACTATCTACAGATAACGACCAACAACTATAAAATCAGACAACTTCAGATATTTCCTACGAAAGGTCATTTGTAGTCTGCTTGCCTTATTGGTGAATTTTATGGATTCATAAAGAAGTATAACAGGTTTAGTTCTTAGGAAGATAACAGCTTCCTCATTCTTGTGTAGTTAATCTGTTGATGAAGAAGTTCAACAAGTATGAATTGCTGGATTCCAAACATCACTCGAAAAAAAAGTGATAATTAATTCAACTCTTTACGATAAAACAACTTACTTCATCAACTTTTGGTGATTTTATAATACGATATTTGAAATCATCTTGAATTATTGTCGACTTTAATTGCCTGCTGTTAATATTCCGTGTAACACGTATACCATCGATTTGACTGGAACGTTCATCCATGGCTATGGGACTATGATTCAACTCCGGCGGTTGATGATGACTACTTTTAGGTATTTTATTATAAACTTTACATTGTATCGTCTCGCCGTCATCATTCCCATTTGTTGGCGGTATAGTCAAATGGATAGTTGAATTAAGTAGGCAGGTGTCATTCGCTTGTAGTAATAATGATGCTGCTTCTGATGACGGTGGTGGAGATGATGCTGCTGTTGAGGCCAGTAGGAATTTCTCAGTTTTCTCTGGACAGCTAGGCTTTGTAAATTGTCGATAATTATTAAAATGTGCTAAGGTTACATTGTTCAACCAGTATAATGCATTGTCAAGTGAAGCGGTTGAACCATGCAGACGACTACAGACTATGTCACCTTCAGCGGTTCGTCCAATAGCAATTAAAGTTGGATAATGACTTGGCTGTGTAAACAGATAAAAAGGAGATAATAGAGAAGATTTGTAGTTCGCGTGTTTGATTTCGATTTAGTTGTGTTCTTTGAGCTGGTTAATTTAAATGCAAAGCTTACATTGTCGTCCAAAACAACAACTTCAGCGTAAGCTTTATTATAAAGTCAGCTTGCTTGAATTCGCCGTGAATCACATAATTGTGCCTCCTGAGAAGTCAAAATACCAACAAGAAACTGCTCTCGAAGACCACAAGAAAATTCATTCAACCATACATATATATGTAAAGAATATCTCTGAAATAACCGCACAATGACTTCATTCAATATTGTGCAGACCACAGGATCCAACTGCATAAGCTGCGATCAACACTACACTTTTCAAATTGAGTGTCCGCCTCGAATCAGAATCTGTGAACATAAATTAACTGTGAAAAGACACGATGTGTATTTTTTTCACATCAGTGCATGTAAACAATCACGAACATCAATCTGATAGAGAGAATGTAGAAATTTCGAACACAGGAAACACCCAAAAAAATGCCAGGGAATTTCAAGAAGTCTGGTATGGAAAGAAATCAGCGATTAATAAACACATTACCATAGATCAAATTTACCAACTAATACATAATAAATTACATGAGAAGAAATTTCAAATTCCAAGTCAATAAAAATGACCGATTTTGATTGACAACCAGTCACAACAACGGTCGTCAGGGGATATAGAAAATTATATCACTCATGGAGAATTCAAACAAGTTCACTTTATATTAAAGTTTGCATTGAAAATGCTTTCTAGGAGGACAACGAAAGCTTTGCAGTGAAATCAACTAGCTCATAGAACACAATCAAATCAAACAAAAAGAGATAAAATATACAGGAATTGGTTAAAAAAAGACTGTTTATATTCATGTCGTTAACATAACGTCGGTAGTTGAGTGGTAGGATGACCGCCAACCACTTGCGTGTCCAACGTACTCCTAAACCTCACTTAGTTTGCTAGCCGAATGTAGTCCCGGAAATTAGGGAAAGTTAGACGCGAAGCTAGCAACCCCACCATGTAAAAGCAACATGATTATTGAAACTCCAAAAACCTGAAGTCCTATGCTCCCCTCAGAATGCAAAAAATGAAAAAAGCCTTATTAAAGTGTTAGACAGCTGTTTCCACAAGGAGTGGAAAACTGTTCTACGGTTTGAAGATGTCAGTTCATCTTTTCTGAAGTTTCTTGTGTTTCAGAAGTAACTGGAACTTCTTTATTCGTTTCACTCTTGTCAGACCAATAGAAACTAAGTGTATTGAAATTGTTGATTGGACACTAGTCATTAACTAGTGTAATGTGTCTAGTCCTATTTACGGTGCAGACTGAATTCTATCAGTCAAGCTTGCAATGCGGCCACCATGCCACTAGGTGACTTTCTGCTGATTGCCTCCAACCATCTAATACCAAGAAATGATATTGTACCTAAATCTGGCAAGTTTGCTGTACAAGCTTTTTGTTTCACACACGATAAACTAGAGCAATTAAAGGGATAATAGACAAACATGAATAAAGCATTTATGTCCAAAGCAAGTTCACTTTTAACAGTTTGAAAAAATTTGGGCATTGGGTATATGTGATATTCATTATAATAAAGCATATTTCAGCTATATCAGGACAGGCAGCAAAATAACTTAAATAACACAATTAAAGACAGATGCTTCGCTGAATGGGCCACCATTCGCTCTTATCAGGTTTTCACTGAAGAGGTATAATTTCCAGGCTTCCTCTTGTATAGAAAGATATTCTCATAGGTCGCTGGATTGACTTAAGGAAGGGTCAATGAATATAGCTAGTGTTGGATGGTAATAGTCATGTCTATGTTTCAAGATCCTATTGAAAATGAAGACAGTTAATACACTCATGATCAGGTCTGGAATCTGATTTGTTTAAACATGTTTCTTGTCCATCAGAAGTAGTTAGACGTTAGGGTTTTACGAATCGTGAGATCTTTTACTATCTGCTAGTTAGGCTAGTTCTTATATGTTTATCGCAAGATGAGTTTTCTCCTCACTTAAAGACTAAAATTATAATGCTATATTCAATTGTTGCTTTGTAGGGATTTGATTGGTTACAGGATTTTCACCATGAGCTGACATTAGTTAGAGAACCTTTGGAAGACCTGGGAGTATTGGACAGCCAACTCGTCCTAGTTCGGGACTCTTCAGCAGTACGCACCCACCGGGGTTCGAACCCAGGACCTTCTGGTTACAAGGCTAGCTCGTATTCCATTAAGCTACTGGAACCCGATCCAATGGCCCATGAATTCTAACTTCTGCAAATTCACGACATAGCGTGACGCCTAGCCTATGTCTTCGGCGAGTATTTTTCCTCACACCCGACCCAGTGGCTTAACGGTATACGAGCTCGCCTTGTAACCAGAAGGTCCTGGATTCGAATCTTGGTGGGCGCGTACTGATGAAGAGTCTCAAACTAGGACGAAGTAGCTGTCCAGTACTCCCAGGTTTTCCAATTGTTCTCTAACTAATGTCAGCTCATGATGAAAATCCTATAATGCTATATGGTTTAAAGCAAATGGCAGGAAGCCTTGAACTTTCATTTCATGCTTGTTGACGCCCATCAGCAAGGTGATAAGGAGTATTTACAACCTTGAATGAACTGATATCTACTCTCATATTCAAACTCGAGTCACTCATTGTTACTGTCAAAGGAGCTATTCGGGCTCACCAGTGACTTTGTGTAAAACTGAAATTGATTGACTAACTAGTTCCTGTGGAGTAACTCGTGTCACACGTCTAGTCCTTGTAGTTGATGCTGACTAGATTCCGTGAGTAGGTTTTGGAAACTTGACTGAGAAAAGTGCGTAAATTGCTTTATTATCTTTTAGGTTCAAAAACATTGCAGATGTCATCCTGAATTGTGTTCAGTTACCAACTTCCAAACTGCAACATTACAAGTTTCTGTACCTTATAAAGGCAGAAATAAAGTCTGGGAAGCGAAACTACAATGAAAAATGCATGTGAACTGAGGTCATCTGTATGTCACTCCGATTAAGTCAACTCACAGAGCTGAGCCAGTTCCAGCCGCCTGAGTTCTGGCCCCGAACCCGTCGAAAAGGACAGTCAGTGTTTTTAGAACACTCTTATTTAGACACCATAGAATGTTCTGTGCTCTCAGTGATTTCGGACATCTTTAATTATTATAGTTATGTAAATATAGAACCTGATGAAGAAGAGGCTATGGAAAATCTGAATGTTCTTGATTCATTAATCAGTCTCTTTTAATATTTTCAGTGGTCATCTTCAATGAATAATTATACCCTGAAATAAATTATCTTACATGTTTCCATTCCTTTAACCATTGCGCTAATCGTGTACCAGGAAAAGCTGACATTAAGTAGGCACGTGCTTCAATTTGTGTACAATCCCATGGAAATAAACCTGCACTTCGTTCAAACAACAGACCACGAAAATGTTTCGACTTGTAATTTGTAATATAGATATCATCAGTTATAAAATCTGCATTGATGTTTGTACCAGGTGTTGTTGTTGTTTCAAGTGGCTGACTGTAGTTTACCACTTCTGTTGTCGAACTATTACCTGTTTGACTGTCTGACGCATTCAATTTCTTCTTGTCAAGTTCTTTTTCATTTAAATTTTCAGTATCATAGTGAAGATGTGAAATTTTTCCTGACAAGTGATCTAAAGTTTCCTCTGTAATATAATTACAATTATAATTTTTTATACTTTTACAGACAATAGACTTCCAATAATGTTTTATTGACTTTAGAAAGAATGTAGGTGACTGAAGGGATTTCTTCTGCTTTGTTTTTATTTTAACGTCTTCATATTCTTCTTCTTCGTCTGCTGTTGCAGGGTTTCTGTGTGAAGTCTTCTCTTCCGCCAATGAACAGTAGGATAAATGTTCAATGGAATCAATAGATTTTGTTTTAATGTTTAAATTATCGCTCGTATAAGCGTTAGATAAATTTAAATTAGCTTTAATTTTTACTGATTGTGTTGATTTATGTGTGGAATTAGATAGATTTGCTGTTAACTCATCATTATTACTTTCCTTTACATTGCTTTCACAAGTAATCAGTGAAGAGTTTGATAGTTGTGGTAGGATAACGTCATTGTTGAAATCATTTAGTTTATCAGATAATGCATCGTTTAATCCAGTGGACATTTTCTCTTCTGCTACGTTTTCTGCGTTTTCATCATCATCATTATCTATGTTGAAATGTTCTTTTCTGTGTAGATTTTGTTTATCTCCTTTGCCTTGATGCTGGTGTCGTTGTTGTTGTTGCTGTTGATGGTGGCGATGGTGTTTATAGGAATGATGATAATCAAAAGAACGCTCTTGCACCGCTTCTTCTTCTTCTTCGTGTTCTCGGGTATGTTGTTTCAAGGTATCATCGTTTGTAGAGCACAGTATTTTAGTAACAAATTCTTGTGTATACGGACTTTCTTCATGATGTAGGTAAAGTAGTACAACAGGCCACTAAACAATAACAAAGTGAATGGGAAAAACATAAAGATATTAGAAAAGAGTCAGAAGAATTCAATCTGTTATCTTTATGTGTGGGAGTGTAAATTATTGAAGTGAATGGGGTCATTTTCTGATATTCAAGTGAGAGCTGCCTGCTAGGCAAAATTGACAGACAGCAATTTACGTCAATACTACTTTCCTAATCAGGGTCACGAGAAAAAAATAACAGCTTAACCTTGAGGAACTCATCAACCAATCACAGCAGAATTAACGTGTGCAAATAGGATTCACAGATATATGGCTTAACTTTCTGAGAAACGGTCACAAGCGCAGTACGGAATAACATTCAGCAAGAAAACAACCAATCAGAAGACGTTGCTTCTCTGCTGACAATAATGAATAATAGTGTACATTAAAATTTATAAATATCTGTTGATTTTTTCAATAAACGATTTGTTGCCTGGCCCTTGTCTTCTGTCGCTCGATATTTCTCAAATAAAAGGATCATATAGATATTAGATGGTTAGGAGCAATCGACAGGAAACCTTTGACCTAGGTTTCATGCTAGTTGGCACTCGCCAATCAGCAAGGCGTACCTGCAACCCTGAAGGGAATTATGTCCCTTTTGAGACTCAAACCCGCATCATCCAGTGCCACCTGCAGTCAGAGAGGTTATCACTATTGGGGGTCGCGATTGACCTCTTGTAGGACTGAATCGGACATTTTTGATTGGACACCAGCCAGTAATTAGTGTGATGTGTCTAGTCCTTTCTTTGGTGCAGACTAAATTCTATCAGTCAAGTTAACAATTCACAGTGCACCATGATGGCTAGCCATCTAGTGCGATGGTGGCTACATTGCAAACTTGACTCATAGAATTCATTCTGCACCAAAGAAGGGAGTAGACACATTGCACTAGTTACTAACTAGTGTCCAATCAGTCTGGAACACAAAATGTTGTAACTTATAAGTTAGTTAATGATTTAAAATGTCTGTACGCATTTCGCCCACTTCCTATCCCATGTTTTGGACTGGTTGGTCAACTAGTGACCTACTGAACTAGGTAAGATTAGTGACTATTCTGAGTCCTTTAAACATAATTATATTTTTAACTGCGACATTATTTGGTATACATTTCTACTCCACAAGGGCGTGGAGAGAAAGATACTTTTAGTCAGAAGTTTGTAAAATTTTCATACAATACACACTTAGCTAAAATATTCCTTAGTTTTAGAGAACAGCTCAACACTATACATCTGTTAGACAGGCTGTAGAATTTCGGTTCAGTTCCAGCCACCACTGTTACGTCATCAGTGACAGGTAATCTGTCAGTCTTAACTATTTCAAACACTTGTTTCAGCATTAAACTGCGTCAAAACAGAATTTAAGCAACTGGAAAGTCATCTGAGAGACAAGTGGAGTTAGTAGGTAGCAGACTGAACTATCGTTAAGATGCTTTTTTTAACTACTGCTGTTATACTCCACCCATCCCAGTCACTGCTAACATTTCTCGTGAATTCAGATTTTATGTAAAACAATCATTTCATTGCAGTCTCATGGAAGTATTAGTAATTAGAAATTTGTCCATTCAGAGGGATTTAATTTACATTTTCACGCTATAGAAGCTCTGGGGATACATAAAACATCCTTGAGCTCTATGTTCAAAAATATTTTTTTTCAGCATCATTTGCTACCGTAACCTTAGTGTCAGTTTTAATTTCCTGATTTGTGGCATTGATAAATTTTATTTAATCACTATTTTGTGCGTCGGTGGCACAGCGGTAGAATGCTCGTCAAAAACGCATATGGTCCGTAGTTCGGTCCCTGGACGATGCACTGCTTTACCTCGTTTAGCCAGTAATAAGACTGGTAAAGAGGGAACGTTGGACATGAGGCTAGCAACCTCATCCTGTAAAAATAAACACCACTGCAACAAAAACTACAAGCCTCTAGCACGAAGCCCTATGTTCCACTGGAAACGTGAAGGAATAAAAAAATCATTATTTAAAAATTCTTGTAGCCTATTTTCAATTCTTTGTTACCGCATTTCTTATCACAATTATTTCGTGTCAGGCCATAGCTCGAGTGGAACCCGAAAGGTAAGCGGCGAGTGGGACGTCGGTGCAAGGGTGACATGAAGGAGATCGTGCGAAGATGAGCTGAAACAGTATGGACTAACATGGATGCAGGTGAAAAGTACAGCAGAAGACAGAAGCAAGTGGAGACGTGCAGTTGAAGCCCTATGTTCCACTAGGAACCCAAGGGAACAATAACAATCAATAATAATTCATCATTCAATCAATCAGCTGTCGTCTTCCTCGACTACTTAAAAGTATTCACAAATTTCTAACATGAATAAGTATGCATCATACACTTCGTTTTGGGTTTGATCATGAGCTGAGGTTAGTTAAAGTACCAGTAGAAAAAAATCCATGGGAGTACTGAGCGGATATCTCATCCTAGTTTGAGACTCATCGGCAGTACGCAACCACCAAGGATCGAACCCAGGACCTCCACGTCACAAGGTGAGCTCGTTAACCATTCTCAATTGTTCTCTAACTGATGTCATCTCGTGGTTGAATCTGTAATTAGTGGAATCCTAGCAGAGTGTGTCTTGATTAGTTCTGCTGATAACTGACAACAACTTCTAACCCTCATTGCCAGTTAATACTGAACAATGCATATCCCTTTAATAACTGTATATGACTTTGAATAAAAGTTATCAAAAAAGAGATCTCTCTCCATACTGACTTTTATGTTCTTAAATTCCACAGTATATTTTAACGCAACTTTTTATAATTTAGAACTTACAGGTCTACCATTTGGACGTTCTGACAGCTTTATAGCGCTTGATAAACTCCCAACAAAAAAGAATGGACATAAGTTACTACGCTGAAAACGATGCTTTCTCTTTTTGTCAGAGTGTTTATATTTTCTATTTCTAACTGAGTGTTGATGAACAGATGCCGATAGATGTGACGGGGATGACAGCGAGGACATGGACGACGACGAAATTGATGCTGCTGATGATACTGACGATGATGATGAGGAGGAGCAGGACAACTGCATTGTTGGCGATGATATATTCCGTTGAATATGTTCTGATGATTTTCGCCTTCTTCTTTGATGTGTCTTTTCAACTTGTGCTGCCGCTGCTGATGAGGAGGAGGATAATGGCTTCTCTTGACTTTTAACATTTTCCGTCACAGTGTCCCCCATTGAATTACAATAACGATAATAAAAATAAGCACAGAAATTCTGTGTAAGTGTAATTTGAAGTGACGGAGTCAGTGGAATATCTGATGAGGTAGAAAGAAAAGGAGAAGAAAGTGAAAATAATTGGGAGTGTACATTTTTAAGACTCTTAGTTCTTGGAGAGTGAAAAGAAATCAGACAATCATTGAATATAATTTGCCATTAATCATAATCTAAAGCAAAATAAACTGTTCATCTTACTTACTTGGAAGAAGAAGGCAGTTAACAGAACATCAAGTTGATGTTGACTTACTTCTCTGTATTTTTACGAACTAAGCAGTTGGTTATTCTGACTTAGAATACAAACTTAGGACCCTCCAGTTAAAACGATGACAGTTACTCGTCTGTAACAATGGCCGGCAGTGGCGGTAAATTTCGTGAATTGGCAGTAATTGGAATTCATGGTTTATTTGGCTGGGTCACAGCGGTTGTAATCGGAAGGTTCTGGCTTCGAAACCCAGTGGGTTCACACTGCCGATAAGCGCCTAACTAGGACCAAACAGCTGTTCATTACCCTATGATTTTGCGACAGTTCTTTAACTGATATCAGCTTGTGATAAAACGTGAGACAAATCAAATCTCTGCAGACTGACTCCTGAAAATCAATCTGATGACTGCTAGTGACTGGCTAAAGGATGAAGTTGCCTGTAGTTCTGGTGAGAAGTCGCCACCAGTGCTGCCCAACTAGTCCAGCTAGTGCACACAAATATTCGCTAAAAGGCTAAAGGAATATTACGCTTTTGGGACAAAAATTAGAAGACGGTGAAATTAAATCTCTACCTGAGAAAATTTTCACGACAGGGGATATTGCGATCCCGGGAGGGGGGAGCGGCGATTTACAGTGGGTTTGTCAAAACTTTCGATGAGATATCAGTTCCAACGTACAGACTATTAGTTGAGACAAAGTTCATTTGGTCAGACGACTGGCAGAAGAGCCCGATTATCATATGTATTTTCATATCAACAGGCGAATTTACATGGAAAGTATGTCAAATTTACGGGATACGTTGAAATATGATATAAATTCAAACCGTAAAATATTGACAAATCACTACTGTTTCTATAGTTTACTTAGCTGAATAATAACATAACCTATCAGACCACATTAGGCACCTTTTGCAATATTCAAAAGTTGATTTGCAGAGACTTGGTTAGCTACAGGTTTGATTACAAGCTAGCATCATTTGGAGAGCCACTGAAAATCCAGAGAGTACTGGACGGCAGTTTAGCTTTAGTTTGGGTTTCTTAAGCACCATGCACCCACTTGGGTTCAAACCCAAGACCTTACAGCTACAAGGAGAGCTTATATGTTGCAAATTGAAAGAAGTTGAAATTCATGGGCTATTAGATCGCTTCCCAGTGGCTGAATATTCGACGAGATTTCCCTGCAACCTGAATGTTCTGAGCTGGAACTTTAGCGGTGCAAACTACTGAGGATTCACAGGCTAGGACGAAACAGCTGTCCAGTACTCCCAGGTTTTCCAATGGTTCTCTAACTAATGTCAGCTCATGATGAAAATCCTGTAACCAATCAAATCCCTACAAACCAACACTTGAATATCAATGAGATGCTTACTAGCGACTTGCCCTATTCAGGTAGGTAGTTACCTGGGGTTCTAGTGAGAAGTCGTGACCAGTAGGGTGCAGCAGGTCGGGTGTGAGGACAAATACTCGCCGAAGACATCGGCTAGCGGTCGCGCTATTTCGTGAATTGGCAGAAGTTAGAATTCATGGACCATTGGATCGAGTCCCAGTGGCTTAATGGTCTACGAGCTTGCTTGCCTTGTAACCCGGAGGTCCTGGGTTCGAATCCCAGTGGGTACGTACTGATGAAGAGCCCCAAACTATGACGAAACAGCTGTCCAGTACTCCCAGGTTTTCCAATGGTTCTCTAACGAATGTCAGCTCATGATGAAAATCCTGTAACCAATCAGATTTGTGTTGCTTATTTTTGGTTCTGTAGATATCATACACCGTGTATTTTGTCTAATAAACGTTGCTGCAGTCGTCACTGTTGTCCTTACGGTTGTTGTTTTTTCCAGTTTGACTACTGTGTCTATCCCAGTGTGTGTTATAGTATCGTGTCCTGGGGGAGGGGTGCATCCAGTCAAGTTAGACAACCCCACAAATCGGTATCATTTCATCATAAAAATGATTCCGGAAGATTTCGGTTTGCTAACATCTCATAACTTTATCCACTGCCGGAAATGTATGCTACTTATGGTTAAGGAAACATATTTTTCAAGGTTATTCCATACTGGATATAACTGACTATATTTCATAATAAATACATGCAGAATTTAAAATATATATGTCCTAGCATCATTCTGAGAACTGTCTATTTCATGCCAATTTCGGTTTCTTGAGAAGTACACATTTATGGCTTTGTAAAAGATTTAATTCAAGAATTCCAGGTTGAGAAACGAGAACTGCTGAAGATTCCAAAATTTGGCCAAAATAGCTATCACTCCTTCTGTGTCTTTAGTGGTTCGTCAATCTCCATTGATTTATAACGTAATCTACTGTGAAGTCAATCAGAGTTGAACAGACCCAACGTTTATGAGTAATTATCTTTCTCAGGCCAAATTGGCGCACACAACAATAGTGTGACTTACTACTCTATTAAAAACAAAACTCAGTCCGGCGAATAATATCCAAGGGACTGAGTTGTATAACGAAATGTGAAGTGCATCTGTTTAGTTCTGCAAGAAAGTTTTTTTCCCTATGTAATTTCTTTATTTTGTGAATCTCATTAATATCTATCACTCATCTTGTATACACTTTCATGCCATCTCCCTTCATTTCAGGGAAGAATAATTTTTCCATAATTTTAACATGGACACTAGGAGAAACTGTATGGAAATTCATCCGTAGAAATTCGGAGACTCTTAATAATACAGTTTGAAATTATTTATGATGACCAACTGGGACGAACAAGTTGGGTGTGGTTAGAAACAGTCCTTGATGATATTGGAGATTTAGCTAATTTTTACAAATTGGTGGAAGTTAGAATTCGTGGACCACCGGATTCTACTTTAGTGGCAAAGTAGTAGGCAAGTCCGCCTTGTAACCTAAAGGTCCACGGTTCAATCCCTGGTGGTTTCATGGGTGCGTACCAGTGAAGAGTTTCTAAGCGGGAAGAATGCTTATGCTCATTAAATGATTGAAAGTCATGCCATTATATTCCCTTCATATAAACTCCACAAATATTTGAATTTGACAAAACAATATTACTCAGTTTGTCAGTCAAATTGATTGTGGACTTAATCACTTCCAACTGAAGACACTAACAATTTAGTATCAATTTAATGAATATAGAAAATCTTTTCTTAATTAAAGGTAGTTTTCAAATTAATACTTTCCTATAGCTATTGTGTTCCCATACCAACGAATGATGAAAATCCTGTAACCAATCAAATCCCTACAAACCAACACTTGAATATCAATGAGATGCTTACTAGCGACTTGCCCTATTCAGGTAGGTAGTTACCTGGGGTTCTAGTGAGAAGTCGTGACCAGTAGGGTGCAGCAGGTCGGGTGTGAGGACAAATACTCGCCGAAGACATTGGCTAGGGGTCGCGCTATGTCCCAGTGGCTTAATGGTCTACGAGCTTGCTTGCCTTGTAACCCGGAGGTCCTGGGTTCGAATCCCAGTGGGTGCGTACTGATGGAGAGTCCCAAACTATGACGAAACAGCTATCCAGTACTCCCAGGTTTTCCAATGGTTCTCTAACGAATGTCAGCTCATGATGAAAATCCTGTAACCAATCAGATCCCTACAAACCAACACTTGAATGACACTTTAAATGGATGGCATTGTATACTACTGATTGACTGATATCAGTAGTCGGATGCCACTCATATCGACAGTTTGTGCTTGCTAACCAGCTAAAAGTGATTTAGACACTGGAGAGTCATTTGACTCGTGTGGGGTCAAGATCATCAGCGGTGTACCTGGTTTGATTCAGTCTAGACACCCGAATTAGTCCAGGTGTCTATTTTGTAGTAAGGAATAAATGCATAGACATCTCTTCGATCCCTGTGCGTGATGACAAATGTTTGAAAAAAAGAAACAATTACGTTGAATATATAAATATAAATATAAACATGATCGGATTTGCACACTGCTCAGTGGGTTACACTTTGCATGTATGAAGGTGTAGTGGAAAAATTGAACGGAAAATCCATCCACCTAATATCATCAAATCAATGTTTACCGTGATGTTGAGCTACCTAGAATTGTGGCCACATTGCAAACCTGACTGATAGCTGGCTGGATTCAACATAGAACTTGGCACCGAAGTGCACCAGTTCGAGTTGCCACGTTCCAAATAGCACACAAAGATAGACAAGAAAATGAGTGAAGAGAATCAATAGAGTTTTGACAAGTATAAGAGTGAAACAGGATGAGTAATGGTAGAAAGGAATATGAAGGATTACAGAGACTGAATACATCTGCGCCATTGACAACGATTTTGAGCCATGTCACCTATTGTCTCCAGCCATTGATTCTTAGAGTCCCGAGGGCGGGCCCCAACCCGGAAGTCTGCATCTCCCTACCTGACCCAGTTTAACTGTCAAGGATTTCATGGATTGATGCCATGTTTTTGTTTGGCCACCACTTACTCTTTTCCAACCTGCACTTATATCAGCTAGTAATGTCCGTCGGGGGAGGCTATGGTTAGGCGTGCGCAGCACGTCACCTAGCCATCTCAATCTATGTAACTTTATAGCCTCGTCGATTGATTTTCCCTCTTTGCCGAACACTCTACGCCTAACGTCAACATTACTTACCTTATTATACCACCTAACGTGAGAAACAGATCGTAGACATCAATGATCAAAAACCGTCAACCTTTTCATGTCTTCAACTCGTATTGGCCATGTTTCGGAGCCATAGAGAAGGACGGAGCGAACTGCTGAGCAGTACACACGTCCCTTGGTTGATAGTCGGATGTCACGCCTACGCCAGAGATGGTGTAAGTTAGCGAAAGCAGCCCGAGCTTTTTGGATCCGTGCTAAGATTTCGTCACCAATCAATCCG